TAAACCATAAAAAACACTCGTAATTTCCGTATAGTTTACCAAAAAAAAGGTAACAAAACATAAATAAACATGACATTGATTAATAAAATAAATAATTGTAATCAAGATTCGTATTATTTTTTAGGTTAAATAAAAATTTAATTAGAGAAATCAAATATTTTTCATTTAATTATTATATTTTATTTATTTATCTTTAGATGGAAGCGTGCGGGTGGTTTTACTTGCAACTTACAGCTAAACATGGTCAATGTGGTCAATGTTTTAAATAGTCAAAGTGGTGTATAAACTTCTGGAAACAAACTTTCCCAAAGAAGAAACTCACTGACGTGGCACCTCAGAGAAGCGACACATGTGTTCCTAAATGACATGGATTGCATGACGTCAATGTATCAGTGCAAAATATAGACCGCCTTATCTATAAAACGCCATGTGTGCACCCAACACATGTGTTCCTAAAAGGAAAATTCAAATCCGTGTGTGAGCTGTGTCCTAGGCAGCCACGTTGACATACGATTAGTATAAATAGTTTGACCTTACTCACTTTTCTCAAATAATCACAAGCAGAAAAGCAGCGGTTGATGGAGAGATTGACAAATAAACTTAACCACAAAGCAACTACCAGTGTTCAACAGCAATCGTCAATGATGCAGCCGCCGTCACTGCCGCCATGGAGGCGGCTCACCGAAGATGAAGAAACTTCAATCATGGTCGCTGCACTCAAGAATGTGATAACCGGAAATACTGCGACGGTTAACCAACGGCAGGAATATGATCACCGGCAGTTCTCTCCGTCCAGTTATTCTCCGGCCACACCTGTCGCCGTTAGTGAGCCAGTGGATCCTGTTCCTCAAACGTGTCCGGTTTGTCGGATTAGCGGGTGCTTGGGATGTAATTTCTTTACGGCTGATATGAAACAGAACGACGGAGGCAGTGGTGGTGCTGGTGGTCCGATTAAGAAAACGAAGAAGAATTACAGAGGAGTGAGACAGAGGCCGTGGGGAAAATGGGCATCGGAGATTCGGGACCCACGTAAAGCAGCTCGGGTATGGTTAGGTACTTTTGAGACTGCTGAAGCAGCTGCTCGGGCTTATGACAGAGCAGCGATAGAATTCAGGGGAGCCAGAGCGAAGCTCAATTTTCCGGTGACTGATTACACGACAAAACCGTTGTCGCAACTGGAAAACCAGCAGACAGCTGCATCGTCATCAAGAAAAAAACAAGAAACCGAGAAGAAACACGTCGTAGAAAAGAAAACAAATGCTTTGGAGAAAGAGAGTGAAGATTGGATGATGACGATGATACAAGACGTCGATGTCGATGGCGGTTTCCCCGACTTAACAAATCTTGAATCAATCTAATCACGCGGTGATAAGATTGCCACGTTCGCAAAAAATAATGATCGATATAACGAATTTGTATAAACTATAATATAAACATTCTTTTCCCAGTAGTATAGTAGTGTAAAGACTAAAATGTAACAACTGATTTATTAATTTATTTATATTTAAATGGCATCAAATATTATTGTTTATTATGACAACATATTTATAATAACAACAGTGGCAGATTTTTGATACGGGACATAAACATTTTCAAAATATAATTTATGTAGTTATCATATTTTGAACATTAAAAAACATGTTTTGAACATTAAACAACGTGGTACAATCAATACAATTACATATAATATATAATATGTTTACAAAGAATTTTATTTATATGTATCAAACAATTGTTTTGGAGATACTCTAGTACCTTCAACTAGAGCTGTTAAATCGGGCGGTCGTGCCGTGTTTTTATCTGACACGACACGATACGATAAGGTTTTGTATAACACGAACACGACACGATACGATGTCGTGTTTTTTTTTCTTTAACACGAAAACAAATTAATTAAAACACGACAACACGCCACGACACGACAAAGATAGTATTATATAACTATTAGTGTATTTCATTCTTACTTAAACGTATATAATACGACAAAAACGACAAACACGAAAAACCCGACAACCACATGCTTAATCGTGTCAATTTCGTATCGATTTATGAACACGAACACGACACGAACACGAATTCGAATTTTGATTTCGTTCCAATTTCGTTTCGTGTATTTTTGTCGTGTCGTGTCATAAATTGACAACCCTACCTCCAAGCTCCATGTAACTTTGCCACTATCTAATAATAATTTATTAGGATGTATTTTTTACTTGTTTAGCTATATAAGTTCGTATTAAGCTGCACTAATTAACTACGCCACTATCTAATAATAATTTATTAGGATGTATTTTTTACTTGTTCAGCTATATAAGTTCGTATTAAGCTGCACTAATTAATTTTAAAATATGTAGACATGACAGACACGCATAGCTCACACCGTCTCATATCTTGTCAAATTTGTTGTGTTGGAGCACATGCACATGCATGAATCTAGCAAGCTCCTCACCCTTTCCATCGATCGCTCAACAACCAATATTCATCGTACACAATTCTCATCGACTCCCACGTTTCAAAAATATTAAAAACCTAGCTAAATGGACGAGCTAGTCTCTTTACAAGAATCAATGCCAAAAAAAGTAATTAATGTAGTGTTTTATGATCTATATTAGGATGGTGTTTGTATGCAGATTTTTTTATCTTTTACAAAGATCATGTACAAACATTATTTTTTACATAGTTTTTGTTTTTTAGAATATCGCGGATTTAAAAACGTATTTACGTTCACTTTTTGACGTGGATATAGACTAAAGTCTTCAAATATCTTCATATATCATCTGGCCTAAAAAACTCACTTTTCATTTTAATCATTTTATATCAATGACATAATTATATTTACATTCATTTACATTATGTTGTGCACCTAAAATCAAATTACTCGTCATAAGTCGTCAACAACGATTAAAATGATTAAAATTTTATTCGGATGCCTCTTTTTTGTAATATTTCTTCATTTTAACTACAACGAAATACAATAAATATCAAATATATTCATTAATTCATATGATTTTACTTTCATTTTTTTATGTTACAATCAATGTTTTGAATAACGTTAGGCATAACATTGCGACAATGTCAAGCGTTAAGCTTTTTAGAATATATATATATATATATATATATATATATATATATATATATATATATATATATATACAAGGTTCTAAAAGGCGTGAGGCGTGGCGTGACGGCAAGGCTAAGCCTCAAACTTAACGAGTTATGGCGAGTCATGACGTTTTTCAAGGCGTGATGTAAGGCGACAATTTTGTATTAATTTATAATTATATTACCGCATAAATATAAATTTATATCAAATATACATAGTTTTTAGAAGTGTTATATCAACACCTAATCACAGAAAGTTAATAAAAAACAGAATACGTGTATGCCCGATTAGAAAATATATAAAAAAGAGCAAAAAATCATGTCTCAAACGAAAAAACACGCGTCATAACACGTCATAACGCGCCATGGCACGTCATATCACGCCTAGCCACGTGTCACATCTAACAGCAATGTTATGAAGCTTTTTGTAACGACGACGCCGCGCCTCACGCCATGGCGCACCTTGGCGCCCGCCATAACGCGCCTTTTTGAACACTATATGTGTGTGTGTGTGTGTGTGTGTGTATATATATATATATTCTGTTATTATTCATTTTTATATAGATATATGACTTAAAGCGGCATTTTGTTAAAATTTGGTAACAATTACAAACTTTGAAGTCATGATGCGTCGTGATGAACTTTTTAGACCCTTAGTTACAATGCACAGTTTAAAAATGACATAATTATCATTTTATCATTAAAATACAAAATAATTTTGATAGACACATTAATCATAACATAATGTCACAATGAAAAAATAAAATGTTATGAAAAATGAAAGTGTTCTACAATAATATATAAAATTCGGTCTAAATTTATTAACTATTTATAATAAATAAGTGTTAAGTTTAAAATAAGACTTTATTAAAGAAAATATTAACCAAAAATAAAATATGCAGTTTGTCATTTTGTTGATCTCTATGAATAAGTAACAAATGATATGTATAATCCCAATATGTTAAATAAAATAAAATTGAAAGTAATTTGAATTTGAATGAATCTTTCAGTGTTTTAAAACTACAATTATTTAAATTTAAGTATTGAAAAACTATTTTTGTCTAAAAAAATCAGTTTATTTTAACAGCTTGTAAACATTAAAAAAAACAAATAGTCTTCTTATTATAAACTGCAAACATTCGGTTCACATCTTTTACTGTAGAGGTTTGCAGATATGATCCACAAACTGCATACATTTTGACTTTAAAAGAACAAACATCACCTAGGTTTCCTGAGCATACTTTCTTTCTTAATTAATAATAATCCTCCTAATTTCTTTAAAATCTACACCATAAATGGAATTCAACTTAAAAAGCAAAACATATGGATGGGTTTGGAACAGTGCCCTTGTTTTGTATTTATTTTCTTGGTTCAACTTCTAGAGTTGCTTTGGAACATTGTCGCGAACCACGAAGACGGCAGTGGGTGGTGCAGTTCTTGTAGAGGATAGATGTGTTAGATGTTGGTATGGAGATGGTTTATTAGGGTTTAGGAAATAGGCTTGATTTGTGGGGTTTTCAGATGATAGCATTTCAGGGTTTTGACAGAAATTGAAAAATTCGATGGCGTTTGTCGAACAAATGAAGAATATAAAGTAAGCAGCTAGATCTGGTGATGCCATTTAGGACAAGCCGACCGAATGAAGCTTCATCTTTAAACGGAAGCAACCGTGGAAGTGGTTTTGTTTTCCAATGATGTTGGAAGGACGTTGTTCTTTATCCAAGATAGAAAGAGGATGAGAGTGGGAGAGGGATAAACAGGAAGAATGGAAGGGGGTGGGATACTGAGAGAGGAGTGAGGGTGGTGTGGGGTAGGGGTGGCAAATCGGATCATCGTGTTGTGTTTTTGTCTGACACGACACGACACGACAATGTTTTATGTAACACGAACACAATACGACACAATGTCGTGTTTTTTTTAACTAACACGAAAACGAACTTATTAAAAAACGAAAAACACGACACGACACGACAAAAAGAACATAATAAAAAAATTAGTTTATTTAATTAATATTTAATCATACATAACACAAAAAACATGACAAACACGACAAATAAATGCTAAATTGTGTTAATTTTTTGTTGAATTTTAAACACGAACACGACATCATGTTTTTTACACTTAACACGAACACGCATTCGAATTTCAGTTTTGTCTCAATTTCGTTTCGTATCGTGTATTTTTATCGTGTTGTGTCAACAATTGTCACCCCTGGTGTGGGGTAGTATGCCCATTTTATTTTAATTTAATATATCCTTATTTATAACTTAGGGACCATCCAAATAAAAAATTGAAACCATTATCTTCATAAAAAAAAAATGAACTAGACTTGTGAAAAGCACAATGACCATTAATGTAATTTTGTCAAAAGTTAAAGACAAAATTACATAAATGATCCCTGTAATATAGAAAAATACTTATAAGGCCGTATTGCATGCATCTCCAATTTACCTGAGTAGCAACATGCCAAATCAGCCAAATACCATTGCACTACATACTTTTGTTGAGAAATGGTGTTTGCCAGAAGAAAGAGAGATAAATAAAGAGAGAGACGGAAAGATAGAGAAAGAGAGGGATAGGAAGAGAAATATGGTGAGGAGGCGTAGGTGGAGCCACTAGAACTCACACCACCACCATACAAAGGTGGTGTTTCACCCCAAATTCATGTGTGGCTTACATTCCATGTTAACATACATGTAAGAAACTCATATCACTCCATATAGCCTAAAGAATATGAAAAAGGCTAAAAAAATATATATTTACCTACACTTAATGGATCTATAGTTAGATTTGACGGCAAAAGAAATAGATGCTATAATTAACACATACCACACAACCTCTCATCAATAATATATTTGTCAGTTAAAATTTTCTATTTTTTTTATATTTTTATAATTGGACAAAAATAAAAAGGATGTGGAGGTCATTTTAAATTCTTAACATCAAAATCATAACTTGAGAATACAAAATAAGATTTTATCATTTTATTGCATTAAAACACTCTTACAAACTCAAACATAAATCTTCCCACTATCATCACCAAAAACCATCATTGTCACCCATTGTCGGGTCCGTCGTAGATCGCATCGTTACCATAGACTACCGGTGTTTCCAACATCGTCCCTGTCATAGACCTCCTACATCTGTTTCTGTTCATTTTTTCGTTAAACACAACCAAATCTACATCAGATCTGATGGATTTGATGCATTTCATATCTAAATCTAGAGTGTCTTGATCACTTTACGGTGGCCAACGGTG